CCTAAACCCTAAACCTAAACCGAAACCGAAGGTTTTTACATTAAAGCTGAAATTCTGCACCAAGGTCTGGTGGGTGCCTTGGCTGCCAACGGCGTTATTTGGGAGCAGACCGTGGAGAATGCAGGGCAGGCGGAGTCAGGGTTTAGGGCTTAGGGTTTAGGGTTTAGGGTGAAACCCCAAACCTTAAACCCCACACCTCAAACCCTAAACCCTTAACCCGGTCCTGTGGGTTTAGGAATCTAAGATCAGCAGTCGTATGGATTGCAAGGGCAAGCTCTTCAGAAAATTGGTGTAGGACTTCCATGTCAGCTGTCTTAGTCAGGCCTAGGTTGAGATGAAGAATGAAGTCGCGGCTGCTAGATCATAGGCTCATTGATCAGGGTTCAGAGTCCCGGTTTTGGCTTCCTCAAGAGCCCTGAATCACCAAGCGCCTTTCTTTAACCTGAAGACTCAATCATATGGACCAGCGAAAAAGTTGAAGAGCGAACGCCAATCGGAATTCCCAGCCCGTCTTCTCGACAAAACTCCAACAGAACACCATCAGGAGTTGATCTACATCCCTGGTGATACCTTGGTTGCATGCTCCTTTGCCTCCTACGTCGGTGTGTTCACGCGCCAGCAACTCGACCAGCATTCAAGCATGAGGGATTTCGTGCTTGCCAGGTCTTCTACCCACCCTAAACGCTGAACCTCGAACCTAAAACCTTAAACCCTAAACCTTGAACCCTAAACCTTAAGCCCTTACCCTAAACCCTAACCCAAACCCTAAATCCCCTACTGTTTAGAGAGGAGATCCTGAAGCTCCTTGCGTCCCCTGAAAAGACAGAAAGCCAGGACCTCGAAGCCAGCACCCAACAGGATTTTTTTTATTTTTCGAATTGAGCTTCTTGATAGACGATGTGTGCAGTGGGGCCATGGCCGGACCCTGCATCGTGAATCCCCTAGTTTGCAGTTCAGTTTCTCTTCCCCTTGTTAGGGGGAACTTCAGGTTCTTAATCTTCTTGGGAAAGACCCTAGACCATGGCGCACAGTGCTGAAGCTTCTTCTCATTGGCCTACACCCCGGGCCCCAATCCATGATCCCTATATTTATACCCTACACGCATGAACATCAGGTACCGTGAGGAGACAGTGGATGCCTTCGTGCAGTACCTCACGAAGAAGGGCGTACCGCTAGGCATCTGGGGGATTCCCTGCCCATCGTCAAGGGTTCAGGTGTTTCAGAGTTCATGTGACGGTCCTGAACAACCCCTGAACAGTGACAAGGGCTGTTCAAGCAAGACCTCCTTTTCCCCTGTTGAAGCTTCTGTCATTATGTTGGCTGCCACAGGAAGAGGCTGCCTTGGGTTTAGGGTAGTGGACATGGAGTTTTTTGTGGTATGCTTGGAAAAACCGGACCGGGTTTCTTAGGGCTGCACTGCTTGCGGTTGGGATTGGAGGAATGGATCTACAATAGAGCCCCTATATGAGCCATAGTCTAAACTCCTTGAAGGGGGGTTTTTCCTGGATAATACAAGGAGTTTAGACCATGGCTCATATAATACAGCAGTTTCCTTTTCCTTGTCCATTCCTTCATGCCCTGCTCCCACCAGCAAGTAAGCCCCAAACCCAAAACCCTAAACCCAAACCGCCAAGCCGTTTAGCCTCGAAACTTAGACTCTAACCCTAAACCTTAAACCCTAGATATATATGTATAACTATGACCCTATAACTATAACCCTAAACCCTAAACCTTAAACCCTAAACCCTAAACCCTAAACCCTAAACCCTAAACCCTTGACCCTTGGCCTTCAACCCTAAACCCTAAACCCTATAACCCTAAACCGCGTCAGGACCCAAGCCCGATCCTCTGGCTGTGCTGGCCTCAGACGCAGAGATGGCGTCGTGGGCAGGCGGGTGTATGGTTGGTGGTGAAGGTTTAGGGTTTAGGGTTTCGAGTTTAGGATTCAGGGCTGAGCATGTAGTGTTGAGTTTCCATGTGTGTGTGGCTAAACCCTAATCCCGAATCCCTCAACCCTAAATCTTAATCCCCTAGTGCGTGGAGCCCCGAGCCTTAACCCCCAAACACAAAACTCTTAACCAAGCGTTTACGAGTTTAGGTCTTGGGGCTCATGTTTTGGGTTGGACGGGCTAAGAATCAGGGATTCGGAGCAGAGGATTGCGGAGTTTTTTGTTTTAGGGGAGTGTGTTAGCATTTGACAGGGTTAGGCTTTGGGGGTATAATCTGTGGTGCAGGCCCGTTATGTGCCTTCAAACAGAAGATCGCCTGAAAGGAACATCAGCCCTGAACTCCACCGCTGAGTCCAGAGGGCCTTACAGTGCAATTTAGGGTTCAGGGTTTAGGGCCTCAACTCAGACTACCATCTACCTTTCGCCTTAGACGCAACCTTATACCCTATGCACAAAACTCAAAACCTTCAACCCTGAAGCCAGAGCCAACTGAACCCTAAACACCCCCAAGAACCCAAACTTTGACCGTAGATAGACCCTGTGTCCTGAACAAAGCCAAACCCTAAATACATCTCAAATCCGAAATATTCTCTAACCCCTACACAATCCCAAGGCCTTATATAAATTAGCCCCAGAACCCAAATAAATCATAAGCCCTAAACCATATAAACCTTATGAACCCTGAAATTCAGGTCAGGTACTGGACCCTGAGTTCTATCAATTTAATGCTAAACTCATGGGTGTGTCCGGGAAGGGGGAGGGATCGACCCTATAAAGCCCCAAAGCCCTAGACCCCTAAACCCTGACCCCTACAGCCCTAAACCCTAAGCTCTAAACCCCAAACCCCTATAAACCTTAAACCCCCCAAACCCTACAGAGCCCCAAAGCCAGGTGAGGGACTGCCATCTGATCGTGTCAGCTGTGAGAATGGCGCGATCCTGTGCAACTCCCAACGATGGAGCAGCTCGGCTAAAGCTTCCTTCCTAGGGATACCTATAACCTCACATTATAAAGGGATCTTACCATTTTGTCTATATCTGCGTCCCCCTGTTCACGGAAACCTCAAAGTTTAGGAAGCATAGAACCAAAAGTGTTGGGCTTGGGGGGGAGTTCAGGGGCTTCGGGAAGGTTTAGTTTTTTTTTTTTGCCGGGGTTTAGGGCGTAGGGCTTCTTCCGAGGTCTAGAGTCTGGGGTTTGCGAGGGTTTACGGTTGGTGTCCAGGCTTTGGTGACAGCTGCTTGTTGGTGGGAGTGGGTGCGTGGGTCTTGAGAGCTATGAAGGGTTTTGGGGGCCTAAGGCTGAAACATATCCCACAAAACCCCAAACCTTAAACCTGTTGTTCATCAGCCCTTTAAACCCCACGGTAAGCCATAAGCCCTGAATCCTACACCCGAGACACAAAGGCCTAAGCCTGTGCCTGATCTTCTACAATGGGAATGGGGCAGGGATTATAGGGGTTTGGGTTTAAGGGTTTGGGGTTCAGGTACTCTGCCCCCGCACTCCTCTTTAGGCACCAGTAAAGACGGGTGGAGAGGAGGCTGCTATTAGCCCAGGTCTGATCATCGATCCGCAGCTGCAAGGAATCGTCGCCGGGCCTGCAATGGCAAAGGGTTTAATCAGGGTTCAAATGCCGAGTTGTTGGTGTAGGGTTTATGGTTAGGAATTGGGGGTTTAGGCTTGAGGGTGTAGGAATCGCCTACGTACCCACGGCATTTGAGCACTAAGTTCTGCAGTTTTTTTTGACCATTTACTGCGGGGTGGTTATTATATTATTGGTCAAGGCATGGAAGAATGGCTGGAATGGCTTTAAGTAATCCTTACACTCGTGTTGCATGATTCTAACCCCAACCCCTCTCAAACTGGCATTGAACCCTGACGAAATCTGATTCCTATAAAGGTTGCTGTACTTTCGGACGGTTATAAGTGGGGTTCCATGTGAGTTTGCGGTTATATACCCTACATCCTATACCGTATACCCCCCCACATGTCCCTAAACAACCCCAATTCCATGATTGCATTTTGGGAGTGCCATGTCAGTTGGGCTGGATGGTAAACTCCAGGGCTTTCGAGGGGCAGATTTCTGTTTTACTCCCGGGTGCTTAGTAGCGAATGGGGGAGAGGATCCCTATAGCAGTCCGTCTAGAATCCCCAATTCACAGCATTTGAGCGTTCCAAGACCAGCAAATATAGTAATTTGCAGCCATGGAGACGTTCCAAGACCAGCAGATAGTGTAATTTACAGCAGGTCCGGTGGTCCTGTACTCTTATGGTCTGGTAGTCCTGTGGTCCCCTGGTCTTTGGTCCCGTGGTACGGTCGTTCCCATCACCGGGTCATCACGCACTTGCAAATCGGGCATAGGCATCACACAAATTCTTTGGAGCATCAGAAACCTTGACAAGCATGGAAAATGCTAAACGAGCTGCGAAAAGTGAGCGTAAACGCCGCTCCCAGGACGAGAAATCATGTCGTCATCATCATCATCATCACCATCATAAGTCTTGATCACTTGACAACCATTCTGAACCCTTAAACTCTACACCCAAAATCCAGACACATCGAAGTGTTCTTAAGTCGCATTGGTTGTCAATGGCAAGGAGGAGCGGATCCCTATGTAGTAGGCTCTACACAATCTCCGGTAGCATGATAGTTCCCCTATTCGCCTCGGTTCCCTCAACGCTAGTCACATTGCTTCTGATTTTTTGCTTTGAACCTGAAGAGCAGCCCCTAGCCGTGAACCCTAAGCTGCAATTTAGGTCTGGATCAAGAACAGGGAGTCGGAGAATGGCTTGCAGGTGGGATCGCATGTTCTACTTGAGGTATACAGTCCCCCTTAAGTAGATAGAATATTGAACAAAACCATCATAACATCCCCATTGCAATTAACCCGTAATTTATCCATTTAAAGGGGGACTATAGGGTCTATCGCTTTTTGAGTTTAGGGTTCGGTATCTTTGTCCTTGATACGATGTAAGATTCTGTGCATCTTTTGGCTATCTACGGTAATCATGTACTCTTGCTGTATTAAACCACAGCAAAAACCACGTCTTTTGCCTGTCAACCGTAGTTGCGAGCGGGGTAATGGATTCTTACAGTAGTCCGACAGAAGAATCCTTTAGCAAGTCTTGCAACCCAACAATCCCTACTCAAGCATGAGCGTGTAAAAGAGTGTAGCATTGGCAAAGTTGATTTAAGGATTTTGCGAGAGGCAAGTATTGTAACACCATGAGTCCACTTTAGTTGACCGTTACTTTCCCTGAATAAGCCTACTTGAGGGGGAGCGTAGCGCCGAAGGGGTTCACTAGTTTTGGTTTGTTGTTCAGGGTTTAGGGGGTTGTGAGTGAACCCATAACTCCAGGGGCTAGCAGGGTTTTAGCAAATTACACGTCAGCCGAGTCAGTCGAAACGTTTCTGAAATGTGAGGGGGCTCCCTAAATGCCTCATGCCTCATGCCCCAAACCCTCAACCCCCTTAAATTAAAGCCATAAACTGCATCCATGAAAATGTCCGGCGTTCTCGAGCCGTTTCAACAGCATACAGTCACCGAAGCCCTTTGCCAAATTCTAAGACATTCTTTCCTCGGGGAATCTCCCATTCTTTTCGCAGAGGGGCCGTTCATGTTGAGAAGGTTGAATGAGTGGTAACCTATGGAAGAACAATTTCCAACATCTTGAGGAAACCTTAAACACCCTAAACATATTCTAGCCGGAGCGCCTGAAACCCAACACAAGTATCATTTAAATTTGGAACGGGCCTATGACCTTTCCAACATTTCCCCTCGACTTGCTGCCAGGTGACTCGTATGGGTCACTCCAAGATGTTGAACACTTTCGAGGTGGGGCTATGGGTTTGGGGTTTAGGGATTACGGTTAAGGGTTAAGGGTGTGGAGTTCCGGGTTTAGGGTTTCAGAAGCGGGCCATGGGAGAGTTTTCTTGCTGGTTAGCAGGGATTGAGGGAGTGAATCCCCATAAGCCCTAAACCCTGTTTAATCATCCCTAAACCCCAAACCCCAGCTCCTTTTGTTTCCGTGCTTTCTATAACCCAGTCCGTCAGTCGCGGCACTAACCCGAGAATTCCTAAACCTTCAACCTTAATTCCACACACCCTAGACCCTAAACCTTAATTCCACAAACCCCAAACCTTAATTGCCCAGAACCTTAACCCATAACTAGTATTGTCGTTTCCATTTGTATTTAGTCCTTCATTGCCCCTATCAGTAAGTGAATCGTGTAAGTGGCGGTTTGCCTTCGTCTGTCTTGCCTTCTTTGGGTGAAGTATGGACAAGACCAACCTAACAATGATTCGGTTCTGGGTTCAGCATTCAGGTCCTAAGTTCTTTTGTACCCTAAACCCTAAATCCGAAACCCTAAACCCAAAACCCTGCAAAATGGTGACCTTGTTCGGCCCTAGGCTACGGGGTAACCTAGTATAAAGCTCTTACCCTTCCACCCTCAAAGTCTGGGTTGCGGTTAATGAACTTAAATTAAGTTTCTATAACGGGTATATATATATATACAGATATGGTAAAAATAAGGTTTCCCCAATATAGTAACTTAAACTAAGTTCCTCAAGTCCCTATATTCCCCTGAGTTTCCATTTCATTTTCCATTTTCTTTTCCACTTGATTCTCCTTCAGAGGGGGATAGCATAGCTTAAATAAAGTTCCTTAACATCAAACCAGAAGTCCTCAAGCCTATGCCTTGCAGGTGTCCTTGGATCAGGGCAAGCCTGTGCTCATTGAAAACATGGGCGAAGGCCGGCTGCGTGTACCTAAGATCCACAGGAGCCATAATCTAAACTCCTCAAAGGGGGTTATACAGGAGATGATATAGGGGACTCTTATATGGTAATTAAGGTGGATATTAGGAGTTTAGACTATAGCTCACATGATGTACATAGGAACCCATTTCGGCAAACATGCCCAAATGATCTACAGCTTTGATATTTGGACTCTTCACATGCTATCCCAACATGTCTCTCCTTCCTACTGCTATCGTTGCTACGGCCTTAAAGAATCCTCGTGCTGCTGCTTTGTACGGATGGTAGTTCTCTAGTTGCTGTCACTGGCTGCTGCATGAGACTTTTTACTGGCCTGGACGCTCATGCAGATTTTTTAAAAAGGTTTCACCGTGTCACCACGATGTCATTAGTGAACACTCACTGTCGCTACTACACAGTCTCGCGAACCTCGAAACCTGTAAAGATATTACATTATACTATATATTACATTATACTACAATATACAAGCCTTAGCCCCTCCCTGAAACAGGCATCGATGCCGTGATCATGCCGGTCGTTTCCCGAAACACCATCAAGCGAGGCCAGGCAATGCCTGCGAGTTATAAAGACGACATACAAGGCTCATGTAGGAGAATATAGGCATGGAAAACAATATGGAATCTTCCAATTAGGGCTTAGGGGTCAGGGATATTGTTCCCAGTAATGCCTACCGAGATATTATGAAGAATCAGGTCCTAAATCTCTAAACCCTGGTACATCTTTGGACTTTAAAGGGATATTTCCCCAGATAATGGAGAATGAGATGGTAAAAAAGAAGCTGAAGTAGAATCCGGGATTACGTAATGCTTTCTAGGCTGTTCACTGGACATTAGGGATCTGCAGGGTAGAGACTGGGGCTTGGGAATTCGGTGTTTTGGGGGTTCCAGGAACCCAAAACCCGCGGGGAGTTCTAGGTTTGGCTTGTATAGTTTAAGTGCACCCCCCACCCAGTAATGGTGACTATAAGGGATGGTAGCAACTACATCCAGGTCCTCTTATATTCTTATCTTATCACCCTGACAGGGTGGAGGGTCCTCCTAGTGTATAGTTGTTTCTTCGTGGACGTTCTTACCTAGAGCCTTTGGCTTACGAGAGATGGTCTAGGTACGGGAATTCCTCCGACATAAGCCCTTAGGGTTCAGGGTTTAGGGCTTCGGGTTTAGGGCTTATGATTAGGGGTTTTGGGGTTTAGGGCTTGGTGTTTAGGGTTTAGGGTGTAGTTCAGTAAGAGTATTAGAAGTGCCGGGGTATCTGGGCACCTGCCATTTTTAGTAAGCCTCGGCTTCCTGACGTCAATGTTGCAAAAACCGAGAGCCTCAGGCGGGTCAGTGTGAATGTACGCATGCCTGGCTTAGGGCTTAGGGTTTACGGTTTAGTGCTGCAACGGCCTTTGCTCTTTTTGATGGGGGCATCAACATTGAATCAACGTCTTCTTGCCCGAAATCGGCAAACCAAAAACTGGCAGCCTGCCTTACAGAAGGGGCCGGAAGATGCGCAAGTTTTGTTACCTGCCTGCTAGCAGTACACGATCACCCATGCCTAAAGTAAACCCTAAACCCTAAACCGCATTCAATTATTTAGGCTGTTTCGTCAGGCAACAAGCGGCTGGTGAAGCTGGGCGACAAGGAGATCACGTTGAGCGCCGCTGGGCAAGAAGCATCCGCGCGGTCTCTCTGATATAGGAGTGGCAGAATGACAAGGTTTAGGGTTTAGGGTTTTATAGGTAGTGTGCAGGGAGAGTAAAGGTGTCTCAGCTGGGATTAGGGCTGTAAAGTGCCTGTCATATATTGGAACGTACAGAGCTTCGGATTCGGCATTTGGCGTTTGATGCTCTGGGGCTTAGAAGCATAACGCGAGATTGTAATACAGAGCAGACAGCATCTCGGGGCAAGGTAGGGAAAAGCCCAAGTTATAGCCAGGCAACATCCGCTACTTTGGTTACTGTTACCTATTCTTCAGTAATTATGACTGCGCTAGCCCAACTGAGACCTCTCGCGCCTAGTTTGCGTTCGGGAGGATCGCTAGGTTTTGGGTATGCAGGTATGAGGTTTCCATGATGACGTATGCTACGACCAAGCGTGTTCATGCGCGTTCTTGCAGGCAATTTCAGGCCTGCAGTAGGGCTAATTGCTGTTTTTATCTTCCTGCGATGGGATCAGGCCTTAAGCCCGAACCCTAAGCTCTGAACCGTTTACCCCAAGCCCTCAACCCTAACCTTGTCCAAAGCCAAATACCCCACCACCTACAGTGATTGGGGTGGTAGTAACAACAAATATGGGACAGGCTCCCACAAGTAGCCCCTACATCAGGGTTTAGGGTTTAGGGTTTAAGGTTTAGGGTTTAGGGTTCAAGGTTTAGGGTTTAAGGTTTAGAGTTTAGGGAGTAATATGTCGTGGCTTGAGTTGTCTTTCCATGTGTTTGGTTCCCTGCTAGCAACCACAAATCACGCCCCCACACCCTCTAAACCCTAGAACGCACAAAATACTACACCCCAAAAGTCTTAAATTCCTGCACCTTCAAACTCTTAAAACCCCTACCGCCCCTGCACCCCCAAAACCCCTAAAGCCCATAAACGCCCCTCGATTTTCCATCCCCACGGTTGCCAAGAACAACTTCAAGCTCTTCATGCAGACGAAGCTGTCGAATCCTCACTACCCTCCGGAGATTCAGGCCAGGCAAAAAATATTCTTGTGGTTTAGGGTTTAGGATTTAGGGTTTTGGAATTTGGGATGTAGGAGTTGTTTTGGGATTTGGGGTTCAAGCTTCTGGGTTTGGGGTGTTGGGCCTCATGACCTTAGGATTTCGGGGTTTGGGAAATAGGGCCTCAGGACTTCAGGAATTTGATGCTTCCGTGCTTCATGGGGCTTAGGGGCAGGCTTTGTGAGACCTGCCGCTGGTGTCTGAATGAAGTCCAGGAGTTGATGAGGGCTTAGGGTGTATAGTCCCCCTTAAGTAGATAGAATATGGCTTTGGGTATGTTATAATAGGATCCCCATATATCCCAGATTCTAGCTACTTGAGGGGGACTACGGGGTTCAGGGTTTAGGTTTCCAGGAGCTGAGAGTACTTTACCCAAACTCTGGTGTTCAAAGCGGAAACCCGATTTGACAAATGCCCCCTGCAAGGGGGGCATCAGGCTTCCTGAGTGATAAGGCTGCTCCTTTGGTTGCTGCCTAGACCCTTTTGACCTATCTTTTTTTGATGTTTAACTTTCTGCCTAGTATCTTCGATTTACAAAATTAGCTACACCCCAAAAGCCTGCAGAGTATAGAGGTTTAGGTAGTGGACATTCTAGTAGCTGGACGAGGTACCGGAACATATCACCAATTCGGCACTGAAGGAACTGGAGGACTTAGCCAGCAGCAGCTGCTGAGTGTGAAGGGGTTTGGGGTTCAGGGTACTGATCTCCTAGATGGTCACCCTGAGTGACGGCCCCGGTAATTACTTTGGTGAAGGCTTCCAAACAATGATGTTAGAAATCAGCTCTATCATACCAACATCCATGTCATTGCCGGGTCATTGGGCCTAAGCCTTAGACATCTACTCTGAGGGATGTTTGGTGGACGCCCGCAGGCTGTGAGACCTACAACAGACCAGGCTAGACAGAAACTGTTACTGCTGGGGGGCTGTACCCAATTTACAGGATACCTTGACATCGCTCAAGGGCGCAGGGCTCATTATTTGGTTTAGGGTTTAGGGTGGGCCCTTTGCCCTCATCCTCAGTGTCGGCACGAGGCAGATGTTGCTTCCTCGGCACTCTAACCCCAAACTCTGAACCACGCCCCAAAAGTGAGGCGACATCTGAGCTCTTTGTAAGTCAGTCATGCTGTTGGGCTTAGGGTTTGGACTAGATTGAAGATTCCCTGACCCTGTAAGGCTTGAATCTGAGCACCAAAGCTTGAAACTTCAACGCTCTGAGACCTGAAATACCCCTCAGCCCCAAACCAAAAACCTAATCCAACATTCTTATAACCTTGAACCCTAAGCCCTAACCCTAAACCCTAAACCCCATCTCTAAGCCCGAAATCCCAAGGCCGAGTGTACCATCATCAATTTCACTGTGACCGAGGATGGCGCCTTGGCCCGCACCAGGCTTTGATTTAGGGTTCAGGATTTAGGATTTAGGATTGAGGGTTCAGGAATTATGGTGTAGGATTTTGGGTTGGGGATTTAGGGGTTGGAGAGCTTAGGACTTTGAGGTTTGGGATCCAGGGTTTAGGGTGTAGCGCTAGTCACATTTATATCAGAACCTTTGGCTTTTACGATCCAAAGCCCAAGCCTAAGAGCAATACATCCAACATCCTTATCCTTACTCGCCCCCTCAGGCTCAAACCCTTCTGCCCTATAGACCTTGGCTCCCTACAAAGCCTAAAACCTAAACCCTAAATCCTCAACCCTGAACCCTAAACCCTCTAAACCCTTAAATTCTAAACCTTAGGCCCTACCCTGCAAACCCGTACGGAGAAAGCCCAGGAGGAAACCTCACCCTGGCTCACTTAGTGCTGCTTAAGGGGGCCTTGGGAAGTGAATCCTTGGAAGAATCCCTATAGACTCCCCAGATTTTAGGTTCGGGGTTAAGGGTTTAAGGGTTTAGGGTTTAAGGGTTGAGGATTTAGGGTTTAGGTTTTAGGGTTGAAGAAGGGTTTAGGGTCTATGTTCCCCCCCAATAGTCCCTATATTGCCTACCCCACGCCCCCTTAAGCACCAGTGGGCTTATCCAGGTTTGGAGGATCAGTTGCTGTTCTTGGTGGTCAAGCTCGAGAGGCGCAGATGGAGCTTGGGGTTGATCGGACTTACCGAGGCCCTCAAACGTAGTACATTCGGAGGGAAATCCTAAGGAGAGTCATAACCAGAGACCATACCAAACCCTAAACCCTAAAGCCCCAAAACGAACCACATTTCAGGATCCAGGTACGGATGAGGGCTTATAGGATTAGAGTTGCGGGATCAAGGTCTAGGCTTGGGAATTTGGGATCAATCTTTCCAAGCAGATAGGGCTTAGGGATTGGGAAGTACGCTCAAGAAGTAGGGTTTCAGGCTTTGGCGCCTAGGGTTTGGGGGTTACTTGTGTCAGCATTCTCGAGTCCTTATTTCAGATTTTGTGGCTCAGGCAACTAAAGCCCTAAACCCTAAGCCCTAAACCCCAAACCCTAAACCCTAAACCCGAAGCCGAAAACCCTAAACCCCAAACCTTAAACCCTAAACCCTAAACCCTAAGCCCTAAGCCCTACACCCTAAACCCTGGGGGCTTAGGGTTTAGGTCAGCGAGAATGCAAGGGGACCCCACCCTTTGAGAAATCTCTGGGTTCCCATATTCCCTTCAAATTGGATGTCCTTCGTAAGGGCTCTGTCCTACTTGGGGTCCCCTAACAGTGCAGGGTACCTTGTAAAAAGTCTGCAGGCAATGTATCAGGACAGACCGTCCTGCAAACGAACATTGAACCCCAGAAAGTCTCCTATTAAAAGGATGATGGTCTTTGCTTGTTTTCCAGGTACAAACACTTCCGAATCCTTACAACCCCTCCCCAAACGAAGTATCTAAACTTCTCAAAGTTTACATTTGGTAGTTTCCATGAATAGGAGGGGCCCAATATAGACCCCTCCTTATGATGGATACACCCAAAATGGCAACATTTATTTTTGGCAACCTGGTAGTCCTCATGATGGGGACCCCCCAAAATGGCACCACTAAGTTTAGGCAACCCCTATACCCCATACCCTAAACCCTATACCCCAGACCCCCGAAGCTCCAAGTCTTTTTCCACGGGAGGCCAGACTTGGCGAAGAAGAAGAGTGAGCTTATCCAGCAGCAGAATGAGTTCAAGGCCACATGAGCTATAGTCTAA